AACACATTAACATAGCTTAAGCATTACACCAAATCATGGAACAAGAGCTAGGCAAATTTTATTCATGAAAATCATTTTAATAAATCACCAAAGATTGAACTTAACAACTAAAATTTCAGGAACTTAGTCAAAATGGCTGTGTGAAATCTAGCACCAAATTCAATCTTTGAGCTCAAATTTAAACATGCTTGGCTTAGAAACATCATCAAACTTTTATTTCATATGAAAGCACACACTTTGTACTACAAAATTTATTTTAGCAAAATTTTACTTATTTAAGCAAATTCACATATATAAATTCACAAGGAACTTTAAACACTATTTTTGATATCATTTCATGCAACATAAGAAACACCATATATGCAACATATAAAACATACATATGCAACATGGACATGGCATAATTGAAACATAGAATGCATTAATGAAACAATACTTGGTGATTATGCTCAATGATGCTCATGATCAAGTTTTAACTGCTTTTTAACATCTAGGATGTTACAAAGGCTCACGATGACCCTATTAAAGAAAGGATATCTTCAGATTGTGCCAAGACTCCGACTAGGGAACGACTCCTTAGCTTGTAGGGCAAGTTGATCCCAGATATAAATAACTAGCAATATCCCCTGTTGTAATCATCGACTCTATCATAGGCATAGCTACATTGTAACCACAATCTCGCCAAAAACAAGCAATACAAGAGTAGCAACTGGACGTACGGCTTTTACTCGTTTCTTGAGGACCCGAACCAGTATAAGTCTCGTCTTCATCTATGATTGTTCTTCGCATTAAGCGGGGTTCTCCAAGAACCAAATATCTACCAGTAAAAAATACCGACAGCTATATTAAAACAAGCCTGCTCCACTTAGGAACATTCTTTCATTCTTTCTTTCTCTTTTATCCTTGAGGTTGGCTCAAGTGTGTGTCACACTATCTTGAACTATACCATGTTTACCCCTGTTATAAACTTTGGTTCACTTTACAAGCATGTCATCTTGTTCCTATCCATACTAGACTCTTTACACCATGCCTTCCTTTGGAAAAATATAAATAACGATACCCTGAATACTTCTAGGCAAAATGCTACAACAATAGATCCGTGCGTTTGTGGATATTTTCTATAATCGTTAAGAACTATCGTAATGGTGTTTCTTGGCGACGTTGCTAAGGTTTAATAAATCTTAGTGATGGCGCTAAGAAATACCAACAAGGCATTTCTAGGCCGTTGTCGGGGATGCATTCTATCTTCATACTTGGTAATTGCGGTAAGAAATGCCAACAACAGGCATACTCAGTGGAGCTCGACCTCTCCTCGTTCCTTTTGGGGGTCGGGACAGAGGAGAGGTCGTGTGGCGCTGCGTTGTGCGTAGTGAAAGGAGAAGGGAGAGGTCGTGGTTGACCACTCGCCTTAGTGTTTGGCCCATTCTATGTGACTTAGATGGGCCATGGTTGCTAGGCTTACGTTAGCTTGGCCGTCGTGGGCCACCTGAGTGGCTAACCAATCGGTGTCCTAAGATACCCAGGGTATCATAACCCCGACAGATAGACTATGGTAGCTAGCAGGTGGTGAGAGCACTGTCTAGTCTTTGTATTCCACCACATGTTCTTAGGAAAGTTCTTAAAAGGTAAGGTCTTAGTAACTGTGTTGAGGCTTCGGGTAGGAGCTGAGTCTCCTATTGTTGTGTCTTCCACCTAGTGTACTTGTTGTAAGGACTCAATATCTATATTGCCGCTGTGTGATTAAGATAAACCATAGGAGTAAAGTAAGAAACATAGGAACCTTGTACTCTCTCGTTGTTCTGCCACCTAACTATACATCTTAAGTTATCCTTTTATCTCTTTGCACTTGTTTCATCACCCTTCCTATCCATTATTCGACTACCCCATGTTGACACCAGAAGTGACAAACGGATATACCGCAAGCGTATGGTAGTCAATGTAGCCTTCACCGGGAGTATTATAGGTATCGTATTTCCATGAGGAACACGAAGTAAACTAAGACTCAAGATCATCCTATGATGATATAAAAGAGCCTATGGAACTTGGGTAGAGAGGATCTAGATAGCAATGATATCTAGTAAAGATAGTAGTTATAAATGGTTAGTCACCCATCCTCTTACAAGAGGCGATAGGTGAGACAATAGGGAATGAAACCCTATCCAAAGCGGCTACAATGTTGTATTGAGGTCCTACCTTTTAAGAACTTGTCTCACACACGTGGTGGACTACCAAGGCTAGACAGGGTTGTCACCACCTGCTAGCTACCACTAACTATTCGTGCGACAAGTGGTCTACACAAGCAAGATATAGTCTAGACACCACGTCTACACTACACTCACTACTCTAACCTTCTTGAGAGGTTAGAGCACTCTACTAAAGTAAAGTGGCGTACAGGTAAGAAGGCTATATAACTACTAGCAGAGATAGAATATCAAATACTATAAAGAACTCGGATGTATCACTTACAAGAAGATTGCATCCACTGAGGTATAGCTTGGAGAAGACACCAGACAGGCCTAGCTCTTCTCTACACTCCCCTCACTCTCTCCCTAAGTGCATAGCACTACAGCAGAGCTTCGCTAAAAGCTACTAGAGAGTGGTTTACTCTAATGTGTCATGAATGAGAGTGAAGTCTAGGAGGGTATTTATAGCTAGAGTGAGGGGTAGTGCCACGCCAGCGATCCAGGTGACTTCTCCTCCTAGCCCTTGGATCAAACCGACCTTGAATTGACCTTTGATCAATGGTCCAGATCAAGGAGGATGCATGGAGGCATGCATAGAGGCAGTGCACCAAAGTTGAACTGGTTTAGCCACCTAAGGAGGTCGGCCAACCTCCCTATGGCAGGTGGGCCATGCCACCATATTCTAGAAGGTGTCCCCATGTGTCATAGTGAAGGTTGGATACTTTTCTCACGCTGGATGCTTCGTTGTGGGCCCATGAATATGTGTGCTCTCCCTTTTGGCCAATAAGAGAAGAGAACCTCGGGATCCAAAGGTAGAGATTGACTCTGGAATTGTTGGGAGGATCATGGGAGGATTGAGAGGGGGTAGTGGGCCCATATAGAGGTCGGGCGACCTGCATATGGAGCCTCTAGCCACCCAAAGTTCATGCTTTGTGTACCTACAAGCAAATAATGACATGTACATGTGGAACAAAGTTATTTGTACCTAAGTCACTATGTTCTTGCTTGTTAGCTCACAGAAAGAGTATTTTGTTGACGGTTTTGGTGATATAAAAACATGGTGAAATTACGGTCAACACCCCACTACACTATTTTATACTAGTTTGTGGTAAATACTAGGATCTCCTGTTTATTATCATTGCTAGCAACCGTTTTTCCTTAGGATAAAATAAATAATGATACCCTGAAATACTCTCGGGTGAAGTGCTGCAACGGTATATTCTGCGCGCTTGTGGAATACTCTACTTGAGCATAAGAAATACCAACACACATCCGGTTTAACACATAAGAATATCATCAATTTAGACATTCATTAATCATACATTCTAAGCACAAAAGACGTCTAATGATCAAAATTTATATATCACATACACATACTTGACATGAGCGTATCAACATATGATAATAATAAACAACAAGAACAAGTAGATACTAAAAGTAACATTTAAGTAGGATGACTAGTTGTATAATGCAGGTACTAGGTAGGCGGGTATGGGTAGTATACACCCACACCCGCACCCGTGTACCCGACATGTAGAGGATTCCGTCCAATAACGTATCCGTGGGTGCGTAAAATAGTCCATACCGTCTCTTTGTCGGGTAAAACCCATCAGATATTCAGGTATCGGGTACACATTGCCATCTCTAGGTGTCTAGGTATGATGGCTCAGATTTGTTCTCACAGTCATTTGACTAGGGGTGCAAAATGGTATGGATATTTACCAACCATATCTGACGTTTAGAGGAGTTTAATTCCGTCCTTATCGAGTTTGAATATAACATCAGATATATTATCCATATCCGAATACTCAAATCATATATGGATGTTGTCAATATCCATTCGTATCTTATTCAACATAGCTAATACTATTTGTATTTAAATTTGAATCCGAATCCAAACAAAAATGCGAAAACAAATATAAAATATTAACTATATTGTTGTCCTTTTACACACGTACTCCTTCTATCTCTAAATATCTGTCGTTTTCACCTCCCGAAAAACAACTTTGACTAAATATATATAAAAATATTAATATTTATGATACATAATTAATATCATTAGCTAGATATTTAAATTTAATTTTTAATAAATTTATTTAAAGATATAAATATTACACATACTTTACGAAAACCAACTGCGAAAGTTAATTGGAATAGACGGAGTACGTTTTTTTTAACTACCAAGCCAGCAACCATCCAGCCCAAAATAAAGACACCGGACGCGTGGGTCTCGGGCGTCAGAGCCCCCAGCCGCCTCGCCCTCGCCGAGGGATTGGACATTGGAGTCAATCGCAACACGGCGACGACGCGACGACACACAGACAAGGAAATCGCATCCTCCTCTTTCCCTCGCTGTGCAATCTCCCCCAAATTCCCCTCTTCCCCTCGCTCACGTCGCGAGAGCAAGCAACGCGCAGGTACTAATTCCTCCCGGGCACTCGCGATTTCCTTGGATTCACCCTCTCGTTGACCCGATCGCGAGATTTCCCGGTGCGGAACCGTGGATTTTGAGCCCAGATTTCGCGGCCATTCGCCTCTGGTTAACCGGGGTTTGAGGAGATCCGCGATTCGTTGCTGGTGGCCGGGGGTTAGTCGGGCGCGTAGATTCGTCGTCCTAGCTTGGTCTAGAAGGGGGATTAGGGTTTGTTTTGCTCAGGTTAGGGGCTTAGGGCCCGGATACTCTTGTTGCCTACCTGCCTGCGAGATTGGATCGGTACTTTCTGGCATGTTGTTTGCTTTCCGTTGGTGACTCGTGGGCTTGTAATTTGGCTGCAGGTGCTGAAACCGGTGAGCGGTTGATGGATGATGACTGTTCCCATGGATAGTGCTAGCGTAGCCCCATCCTCCGCGCGGGACCTTGCCGAGCGTCTCCTTACTAGGGTAAAGCCTCTTAGTTCCTTTTTTGTTCCTTTGCATGGTACAGCTAATACTACTGGTCTACACTCTGGGTTTTTGATCCAGTGGTTTCCGCTGTGCCCCTGGGTTTTCCACGGTTTTTTGGATGGCTTGCGCTGCTTGTTAGGTTATTTGTCGGGTACTTGGTACTGTGGATCCTCGAGCAGTTCTTGGGATAGTTTTTTTCTTTACATAGGTTATAATTAGTTTGTATGATAAATTGCTTAAGAAAGGAGAATACCTGAGCTAATTGTTTCCTCTGATGTAAGTCAAGCTTTGCTTGTATTTGGGTTTCTCCCATAATAGCAAGGAGATGCAATTGATACTCATGTTTATGTGAAGCACAATGATAAAGTTGTGACATTGCAATGTTATTATGCAGAACAATGAACTCGAAGATCAGCTCCGCAAGTCCGCACAATCCAAAGTCCCATCGGATCCCAACATATGGCTTCAGATGCGTGACAACTTTGAGAAGATAATTCTCTTAGATCATGACCTCTCTGAACAGAAAGAGGTAGAATATCTCCTGTGGCAGTTGCACTACAAAAGAATTGAGGACTTCAGGAGGAACATTAGTGCTGCAAGCTCAGTTGCATCTAGTGGGAAGAGCAACGCTAACCCAGATCGAGTCAAGAGAATTAAATCAGCCTTCAAAAGCTTCCTTTCAGAAGCAACTGGCTTCTATCACGACTTGATGTTAAAGATCAAATCAAATTGGGGCCTTCCACTCAGTTACTTTCCAGAGGGCCTTGACAATGCAAACAACTCTGTGCGAGATGACAAGAAAACAGTTCAGTTGAAGAAAGGTTTGATTTCATGCCATCGCTGTCTGATATATTTGGGAGATCTTGCTCGTTACAAGAGTTTGCATGGTGATGGTGATTCTGCTAGTCGTGAATATGCAGCTGCTTCTAGTTACTACAAAGAGGCAGCTTCTATCTACCCTTCCAGTGGCAACCCTCATCATCAGGTATTACCACATTACTATACTTGCTTAGTTGACTATTTATTCTCTACTCAGTCTTTTATTTATTGCTGCTGTCATTTTTTCAGCTTGCTATACTAGCTTCTTACTCAGGCAACGAGGTGGTAGCTGTTTATAGGTACTTCCGAAGCTTAGCTGCAGATACTCCTTTTACCACTGCACGGGACAACTTGATTATTCTTTTTGAAAAGGTATTGTTGCTGTCTTCATTAATTCATATCCAAAGTATTGTTCTTATCACGCTTTCTCATTTTGGTTTGATACCTTCAGTAGAAGATTGTATTGTTTGATATGACATGAGAATTTTTCTTGATTTCCTGACTTATCTGGCAAACTTTGTATTGTTCGTCTGATGATATCTGAAGACCAGATGGTTGAAAATTTGGTTGGATTTCTTTTTAGCATTTTAATTGTTTCTGCGCATCTAATATGTCTGATTACCCTTGTCACTTAGTCACTTACTTTGTACAACCATATATAATATAGGTACCCTGTAATGGCACTTAATTTGCAGGTTCATACATAGCAAATGTTTATTTTCTCCTTTGTTCTTCAGCTTTTACTTTGTATACAGCTGTCATGTCCAGAATACTTTCTTATGTAAATTTATGTTTATATAATGTTAATTTATCTTGAGATGTTTCGTTGTTTAGTACCTCCAGTCAAACAGTAGTGTCACTGATTCGATAAGTTAGTAGAATTAAGTGCAAATAGTTTTTGAGGCATCTATATTTGTGTATTCTCATTTGCAAATGTTAGCATTCAGGTTGATATTGATAGCCCAAGATATCACTTCTTTGTGGCTTATATGGGACTGTAATTGTTCATGATACCCTTACTCGATGAACATATTAAATCAATAGCTAATGGTAGGATGATTTCCAATTTGTATTCCATATGGTTCTCAATATTTGTTAGTTTCGCTGTCATGTTTGCATCATAGTCTTCAGTAATACACAACACTAACAGAGAACATAGTTTTTGTATTAAGAAAAGAACTGAAATGATTTCATCATCAAATGAACAATTGTTTCCAGATTTGCGCTATTAAGCTTCTCTTAATGATGGTACAACTTCCTATGCAGAATCGCCAAATCTATGGACAGCTGCCAGACAACAACAAAGTTCCCAGTGCTAAGACATTACCCCCACGGTCATCTGGTAGGGGCCGAGGACGGGGAGAAGTAAGGTTTCAGCCAAAAGATGTTAATACTGAAACAACTGAAAGGGAACGGGAGTGCAATATTCATGATACATTGAAGGCCTTCTATATACGATTTGTCAGGCTCAATGGAATTCTTTTCACGAGGACCAGGTACAGCCCAGTCTCTTACATGATCAGAATCAATTCTTCAACCCTCTTACTGGTCTCAATCTGCCTAATAAATTCTTTCTTCTCTCCCTTTTTAACAGTTTGGAAACATTTGGGGAGCTGTTTTCTTCAGTTAGCAATGATTTGCAGATTCTCCTTTCTTCTGGTCTTGAGGACGAGCTTAATTTCGGTTGTGATGCTGCAGAAAATGCATTAGCTGCTGTTAGGCTTACTGTCATCCTTATATTCACAGTACACAATGTAAAGAAGGAACCTGATAGCCAGTCGTATGCTGAAATTGTGCAACGCAGAGTACTGCTCCAAAGTGCGTTTACAGCTGCTTTTGATTTTGTTGGACGAATTCTCAGAAGGTGTTCAGAGCTCCGTGATATCGCATCAAGCTTCTATCTGCCAGCCATTCTGGTGTACATTGAATGGCTGGCGTCCCATCCAGAGTTGGCTGTTGATTCAGAGATGGAGGAAAAGCATGCAAATGCCAGATCTTTCTTCTGGAACCAATGTATCTCATTTATGAATAAGCTGATCCTTACCAACCTTGCATCTATGGATGATGATGATGATGAGGCTTGCTTTTCTAATATGAGCATTTATGAGGAAGGTGAAACTGGCAACAGGCTTGCCCTTTGGGAAGATCTTGAATTGAGAGGTTTTTTGCCCTTAGTTCCTGCACATACCATTTTGGATTTTTCAAGCAAACACACATTTGGAAGTGTTGGAAGCACCAAGGAGAAGAAAGCACGGGTTCAACGAATTTTTGCTGCAGGGAAGTCACTGCTGAACTTTGTTCAGATCGATCAGTTGAGGATATATTTTGATCCATCTTCCAAGAAATTTGTCATGGCCAAGAACCCTCCTGTTTCTAAAGCTAACAACCCTCTTCATGAGTCTCCTGATGCACTTAAAACAAATGGCGCTGACATGGATCATGAGGCTGCTAGAAGATTTGACTCAGTTTCCTCTAATATGGACACACTGCAGTCTAAGGTGCACTTTGGTCCTGATGGTGACGATGATGAAGAAATTGTTTTCAAGCCTACAGCTTCTGAAAAGTTTCCGAAAGCTCCTTCAGACCTGTCGGTGAATGGATACACCTATCCTGTACCAATGTCTGCTGCTGGCTGGCCAACCAATGCTAGTTTAGTGTCTGTTCAGAGCACTGCATCAATGTCTGCGACTGGTTGGCCAACCAATGGTGGGTCACATTCTTTTCTAGCTGCTGGTAATTATAACATTAACCAGTCGCTTCCCAGGTCTTCTGTTGGTTGGGCTGTCAATGGTGAGCAAAATGTTATTCCTAGCATTGCTCCAAGATTTGAACTCATGCAGCCTGTTGAGGAGCCTGCTTCCAGCTGGACAAGCAGTGGTGCACAGCATGTTGGTCCTCAGCACACAGGTTTAACTTTCCAAGATGTTGTCTCTGAACCACATGTATCTGCATCAATGGTTCAACGTTTTAGTAGCCCTGACTATTCGAAATTTCTCAGTGAACAAGAAATGCTGTTAATGAATGGACTGAAGACTGTCAACATAACTGGAAATGGCTATCTAGAGCAGAGATTGCATGCTGGATTGAGTGGTGTACAGTCTATTGGGTATTCGTCTACTGAACCTGCTGGTACCACTAAAAACTCGATGCATAATCATGTGAACATTACTGGAGAGACCGTCCCCTCTACACTTGATTCAGTTGTACCTTCAATAGCACCATCAGGTGGCATGCCAATGAAATTCACAGAAGCACCACTAACTGCTTTAAAGAAGAACCCTGTTAGTCGTCCATCAAAGCCTGTTGGGCCACCTCCAGGATTTAATCATGTAACCCCGAAGCGTCAAGATGATTCTATTCTGGTTGAAAAACTGCAGAGCCCACAGGTCGATGATTACAGCTGGCTAGATGGCTATCAGCCATCGATTGATCATGTTAACAATTTAAGAGCTGTTTATCCTGGTGTCAGTGATACTAGCACTGCATTTTCCACTCCATTTCCATTCCCTGGGAAACAACAGGTCTCTGGGATACATGCACAAGGGGCCAATGAGAAGACATGGCAAGATTTCCACCTTTTTGAGCCTTCAAAACAGAATATGTTCCAAAATTACCACCAAAGAAATCAGCAAAGTGGTCAAATAGCTGAACAAGAGCCATCAAATTCTATCTGGTCTAGCAGTTACCATGTGTGATTCAGTAACTTGTACCAGGATGATTGCTGGTAAAGACACTCCTTCCAGTTGTCAACATTACAAATAATTCTTCTTAGCAAGTGTAAACTATCATTTCATTTTGTGTTCTATTTTCTTGCAGCGAAATTTGGTTCACGTGTATGAAGATGTTACAGTTCTCATTTATATTTTGTTTTATTATTTCATTTATGTAGGAGTTGCTGGGGACTAAAGGATTAAGTGGCACAGCCTGACCTATTGAGCTTGGCCCATACCTGCAGCACTCTCATAGTGTTAAATTTCTTTTGAGAATGGTGATCTTTGAAGCATGACAACGGCTGCTGTTATGTTTGGTACGTGGCACAGCCTCCGGTTAGACTTGCACCCTTGCAATTTGTTTTCTCTTTCTTTTTGTTCTTTTGATTTTTGATGTATTCAATGGGCGATGACTTAATAATATTATAAAATCGCTTGAAGTACTTCTGCAGTTTATTTGGTTGATATCTTCTAGATGCAGCTGTAAAATGGACTAAGATCTTTTTAGTCCACTTTCCTTTAGTGCCAAAAGGAGTAAGCCATCCCATTATATTGCTATTGTCAACAGTTTTTGTGGTATCTTACACCTAGGATTGTTTTAGTTCAGTGCCATTTATGGGTTTGTTAGGGAGCATGGTAATTAGTTATAATTAATAAGTTTATCAATGATATTAATTTATCTTCTACTCCCTCCATTCCAAATTATAGACGTTTTGGCTTTTCTAGATACATAGTTATTGCTCTACACTTAGATATACATTATGTCTAAGATACATAGGAAAATCAATGTATCTAGAAAAGCCAAAACATTTTATAATTTGGAAGGGAGGGAGTAGTATTTATCATCTATACAAAGTAGAACCGATGTCCTTTGATTTTATATGTACTTGGGTGCAGGAGTAGAAGAGTCATAGAGTGATTAAATTAGAGTTGGTTTTCTTTTGTTCCTGAACTTAATCTGCTTCTCTCTTATTGAGAGGGATTAGAAAGCGACTGCATTTATTTATGGGAGTTGGAACACCATTCAAAAAAGTATACTAGGAAGAAATGAGATGAACATAATTCTAAAATGATTTGTATTCTTATATTTAGATAAGAGTTAAATGCACCAGCGGCCCTTAAACTTGTAAGGGTGTGTCACTTCGGTGCACGAACTTTAAAAATGCATTTCTGGGTCCCTTAACTTGTTGAGTGGTGCGCCGTAGTTCCATGCCAGCCACATGTACGTTCCATACTAAAGTGGTGGTGGTTGGAGAAACCTAGTAGGAAACAGATAGATTTTCACATGGTGAAATCAGTTCGACCTTTGTGCGGGGAGATTAGATCGACCCTGGCTTTATGGGGGAAGAATAGATCGTGAAGGGGAACAAAAGAGTTAGTGGGGACAGGACCGGTAAAATAGATCGAGCGAGTTAGCGACCACGAGAGAGCGCTAGATAACGACTGACAAAAAATTAGTCGTCTAGTATCCTTGTACGATGCATGATAGAACCTGACAACTACAAATTACACATGGTCGTTAGATAATGGTCGTTGATGCTCATTCCTGTAGTAGTGAATGATCCATTTGTGGAAGAAGAGGTAAGGGGAGGGGTTAAATGTAAAAAAACATGCCACACTGGCATGCCACATCAACATGGAACGCTTATGCTTAGCAGCCATGTTCCTGTTCCCGTTCCTGTTCCTGGAACAGGAATGGGAACTTGGGGTATCATTTTATAACGTGGGAACGGGAACGTTGGCCATGTTCCTGTTCCCAGGCTGCTAAGTGGCTTATGTTGCTGGCATGGACCAGTGCATCATTTAATAAGTTTAGGGACCCAAAAATGCATTTTTAAAGTTCAAGGACCTAAGGACACACCCTTACAAGTTTAAGGGCCGCTGGTGCATTTGACTCTTTAGATAATATAGACTTATATTTAGACTTCTCCCAATTGGATGGAATACTTTGCAGAGTGCAGGGGAATGGTGCTTTCACTTAGATTTTTCTAGAATAGTCATTTTTTGGACTACAGGGCTTGCCTAGATAGGCCTTTTGCTTTTTAATTTTGCTATATATTTGCAAAAGTGTGTTCTCTTTTGTTGGTTAATGTCTCTCTTGTGGAATCTTTTATATGCTTATACACTTATTTGGTTGGTTTGCAATTTACAGGGAGTGCCACCATCTTCTGGGCCAAAGAGTGAGTGGAGGATGATTGATCTGTCGGCAGTCTGATGGGGATGAATTATATGAGGTCTTTAATGCTGACACAAAGGGTTAATGAAACAAACTCGAATCCAGTGATTATAGGCGCTCTGCACGGACCATATGATTCATCACTCATTGGACATGTAGCTACCACAAGAATGGTGTGAGTGGACGGTTGCTGCCGCAACTAAAAGGCCATTCAGTGTGGATGTCAGTTGTCAGTTGGGCTATGCCATCTAAGAATATAAGTTTGAGGAACAACGAGCATGTTGCCAAGTCGTTTCTCAAGTATAAATTACTGCGTCTAGTTATCTTGATACTTCCCTTCTGGAAACAGTGTGTCGGTTGCTGTTGCGCTGTTGCAAGTCGCGAATAAATGCTTGGAACAGTTTGTCATGGTATTTGTGTGGCTCCTATATGTTAATCTGGAACTGTATGGACCAACCCTCAGTGTTACATACAACGTCTGTGATTTGACTGAATATCTTGTATGTTTCTGTTAAGCTTATTGATTTTGTTCTGTAGTCGATTTCGATTGGCACTAGAAAAACCGGCGCGGCTTTGCTGAGCCCTGTTTGGAGCCTACCACTGTATCAGTGGGTGACTACATTGTGTCAGGTAGTTGTACATTTGTATTTGTATCCAAGCAATGCTACTCAGATTAGCTTGTCGTGTTAGTGTTTGGATCCAAGCAGTGGTAGAAAATATGACATGATGCCCCCCTAAGTGTCATTGGCTAGAGTAGTGTTTTTTATAGTATCACTGGAGTATTATTTTGGGAAGCTAATATTTACATCGTATAAGGTTATCTGTACAACTGTTAGGTAGCTCATATCCTCTTCTAAGGTCCTTTGTAGAGTCATGAGATATCCTGTGGTTCTTGTGTCATCTACACATTTGATATTAAAGCCTGCTTGTTATTATTATTTAGACTAAGTCAATATAACAATATGTATGTTGAAGACAAGGTAACTAGTAGTATAATAATAAATACTTATACCTGCCAGTTGCTTGGCTTTCTGATACTGTGGTCGTGAGAGCTTGCAGGCTCTCGTTTTATTGATTGCCTCTTCAATCCATGTAGCTAAAGCTACAGCTTTCTTAGCCACAAGGCTTGTAACTCTACCTGCAATTGGATGTTCATGAAAATGCAGTGAGGCAGTGGGTAGACTGTTATTACACGTCCAATTATCATCATGGGATATACTGTTCGTGGATAAGTGGCAAACCTATATTCATGGCCTTGGTACTGAGGCCCCGTTTGGTTGGGCTCCGGCGCTCCGGCTCCTTGTCTGTCGGCCGACAGGATGGTACTGTTTACCGGAGCCGTTTTTCTCTCTCCTCCTTTTCTCTCTCACTGACACCATCGGAGCCGGAGAAGCTCGGTTTTTGGGCTCCGCCAGCTCCGGCTCGCATGGGCACCTGTCAGCTCGTGGGCGGCCGGCAGGATGCTACAGTGCAGGAGCGGGAGCCCTGCTAAACGAGCCCTGAATCTCACTTCTTGAGACAAAATCACAGAAGCTTTTGTTTTAGAGAAGCAAAAGATTCAAACTTAATTGGGTTCGGTTTACTATTGTATTTCTTTTATAAAAACAGTAATGAAGGCTAAAGACACTGAAATTTGTTGGTGGATACAACAGTCTCAGATGATGGCAAATAATGTGAACTCACGCTAGGAAGGTGTGCGGGCAGTCGATGGTAACTTGCTGTAAACAATAGAAATTTGAATCATCAGCCTAGCTGCAAATGGAGACAAATTAAGGGGCAAAATTCGAAGCCTTGGTTATTGTTGCTTCCCTTTGGCTTTTGGTTGAGATGCTAGTGCAACACATTTTAGGTCAGTATAAACTGAACATACGTTAATATTAATTGAAGTTAGCCTAATTGAAGTTTAACACATTTCTCTTTGGCCTTGTTTGTTCTCTCTAAAGTTGGGCACGGCACTGTGCATTGACTGCTCTCCAGCTGCAATAGTGAAATGGATTTTAAATACTTTGTCCGTTCTAAATTATAAGTCACTTTAACTTTTTTGGATCAACAACAACAACAACAAAGCCTTTAAGTCCCAAACAAGTTGGGGTAGGCTAGAGTTGAAACCCAGCAGAAGCGATCAAGGTTCAGACACGTTTTATGGATCATCCATTTTAATGTATATCTAGACATATTATTATATCTAGATATATAGAAAAATAGATGTACCAATAAGGTCAATGTGACTTATAATTTGAAATAGAGAAAATACTTTACAAGAGTCTATTCTAAATGACTTCTGCATTCAGCATGTCCTGACAAGTGAAAATAGAGATACAAGCAGAAACAATAGGATACCTATATTTATTTAGCTAGCAAGATATTATCTCTTGTGATACTTAGGGGCAATGATCACCAAGGATTGCTGGGAACGGCTTTCTCTGTCCATTTAGGCTTGCTAACTTGACTTCTCTGATGTGCCTCGGTTCCTGCTGCTAGACCATGCCATTTCACACTCATCAGCTATCTGCAGTTCTCGCGGGCAATCTGTCGAGCACATGGTGTGCAGGCGCTGCTTAGCAGCAGTGTGCACACTGCTCGTTCCCCTCCTTGGACAAGGGCACAGTGGAAGGGCCTGGCTGCCAGGGTGCCTGGGTGCGGAGGCAGCAGCTGCTGAGCAGTGGATACAGAGGTGCGGTGGCACCGTCTCTGCACCGCAGCCCATCGCCTAGACAGCCAACCTGCCATTGCAGCCGTGGAGGAGACGCATGGCACCATGCGAAGAATGGAGCGCTGGTTCTATATCCCCACCTCCGCTGCTTCGTTG